GGGCCCCCCCCCCCCCCCCCCCCGGTGTACTATATTTTTATTTTTATTTTAATAGGCGCACAGGAGGGTACGTTACACAATTACCGTTACGAACTCTATTTATATTGTTTTTTGGGTCAGAAACTCTATTTAAATAATTCTATTTTTGAAAATATTCTGTAATACTAAAAACTAAATATTAATTATGTAATATTTATTGTGTTTGAATAATTATTATTTTTTATCATAGCAATTTAAATTATTGATTATAATATTATATAGATTACTTGTTACAATTATATCGTAACAAAAGTTTTCATTACTTGAAAATAAATATATGAAAAAATCACAGGTGGGTCTATTCCCACCTTTTAAATCGTTTTTTTCACCTTATTTAATTTTTTTTATCAGTCATTTTATTATTTTATTTCAAGCTACTAAGTTCACCTCATTTATACTCATTAAATTAAATTATTAAATGTTTGTCAAAGAAATTAATATAAAAATAGTAATTAAATCAAAATTTCAATATTTCGAGGTGATATATATTATTTTGAGGTATTTTAAAATATTTTCATATATTTTCATTAATGTCTTTAGAATATTTTGAGGTATTTTAAAATATTTTGACTATTATTATAAAAATAATTATTAACTTTTATTCTACTTTTAAAATATTTTTATATCAAAATAATACGTCGAAATAAAATTTTTATTATTATCTTTATAATAGGTTGAAATAAAATTGAATGGGTTTAATTTCTAATTAGTAAATATAGATAGTATAAGTGAGATAAATTTAATAATTTAAAATAAGATAATTAAATTGAATAAAAAAAAGGAATTTAAGGGGGTATAGAATAGCCCCATCCAACAACCACAGGCCCGAATGATCAGTTTAGGACAGCCACCTGAGTCTCACCTGTCAGCTGGAATCATTATTTGTATAAGTTTTGTTCAGAAAGGTGACTTTGCCTGCCATTCTATACCAATGGTTTATTGACTTGACTCTATTACTACTCATCAAACAATAGGCGGACTTGGTGATGGGTTCAAGCTCGTTTGCCATACTAATTTCTTTGAATTAAATATTGTTGAAAGAGTTAAATATTCAGCTTATTTTTGGTGTTATAATAGTGATAGAATAAGGGTAATTCGTTTCAAATATACGATGCAATGGAAGTGTGAAATAACACAAATAAAAACATAGACTAAGAAAAAAGAGCCTCACATGACTTATATCTTTAAAAGAAAGTATTAATCCTAAAGGTAATCCAACGAAGACAAAGACAAATTATATATTTATATTATTATAAAATGTCAATAAAAATGAAAAAAAATTTATTTAACTAAAATATCACTAATGAAATAACAAATGTCAATCCTATCTTTTTTTATTAATAGCAACATTGTTGTTGTTTAAAATGGTGATAGTTATTTAGACCATTGGGTTATTAACTGTTCGATTGTTACTCCATATATTCAATATTACTAATTACTCGTGCATGAATGCCCCAAGTAACAAAAAAACAAATTTGTAGTCAATTAAAAAGCATACCAAATAAAAGAGTGTTGAGAACATTGATAAATGTATCTTTTGTTTAGCAACACTACTATTAAAAACATATACATATAGTTATGACTATACACGTGAATCTCAAATTAAAATAATTGTATAACAAATAAAACTTATGCAGATGATATAAACCAACTGTTATGTTTAAAAAAAATTCAATAGAGTTCTTTTTGAAAATATGATCTAATCAATAATACCAACCTTTGTGTACAACTCATAATAAAACATTTATGTAAATAAAGAAAGGTATCTTACATCAATAATCTCATCTAATATCTCTATTACCACTATTTATCGACTATTGCAATATGATAACCCAAACATCTAATACTAAAATGAATAAGATACAAATATCAACTAAATTAACACCAAACTAAAGCTAATCAATAACTAAGTACATTCACTCATCCTGTAGAAGACAAAAAACTACCTTACATCAGTAATCTCATCGCATTATATCAAAAATGTACTTATTTTGATTATAATATTCAATAAAAATCCTATAAAAAAACACCTAAACTATAACACTCAAACCAATATGTCACGTAAACCATAACATTCAAAACACCAAAATTATAACATTCAAAACACCTAAACTATCACATTAAAACTATAACATTACTTATCAAAATTTTTTTAAAAAAATATAGCATTCAAAACCAATTTAACATTCAAAACACTCAAACTATAACATTCAAACCAATTTAACACTCAAAACATTCAAACTATAACATTTAAGCTATATCAAAACTTATTAAACTTATTTAAAAAAAAACACCCAAATGAACACCCAATTTGATTTAATTAATAGGATGTTA